AATGAAGTAAAGAATGCCAAAACGTCAATGCATTCAACAAAACAAATAATGGAAAAGGCATTAGAGGAAGAAAGAAAGTCTAAAGAATATCTGAAGGTCCGATTAGAAGAGGTCGAGAAAGAAGTGCAAAGTAAAAAGTCAGAAATATTGGACACCAAACAAGAAATGGAGAAAGCTTTAGAGAGTGTTAAAGAAGAGTCAGAGAAATCAAGAGTTGCTCTGGAAAATGAGATAGAAAGATTAATGGCAAAGAAAAACAAATTCATGTGTTTTTAATGATCCGTTTTACTTAATCGTGTTACTACATTTGTGATCTTATTTCATATCTTTTATTTCGCATTTAATATATTTATATCATGTGTACCAGTAGCCTAATTAATTAATTAAATTAAAATTAAATTAATAATTTTTTTTTTTGCCGCATAATCACTGAAAATTGAGATCTCGAAAATAAAAAAATGAATTTATTGACTATTTACAAATTTGATCGAAACAATTAGTGCAAAGAAAAAAGTGCTTTACAGAGCTTTGATTCCGACTATCCATGCAATATAAAACTTAAAGAGAGTGAGTTTTCTTTTTCTATATTATACGAAACGAATTCACCGATCGGAAAGTAAATTTGTGTTTGGTTTTTTGGATTGAGCACGAAAAGTCAAACCCCTAATGGATCGATAAAATATTCACTACACGGTGTAAGAATGTTAAAATGGAGATTCACCAAAGAACCTTTTCTAGGAACTAATGGTACATTTGAAGAATTCCGACCAAGGAATATAAACATTTATTCTAAAATATCCGAGCTTTGCCTTTGTGTTGTATACTTGAAGTATGGGTAGAAAATCGACGCCTAAATTTCACATCAGGTTGCTTAGTATTCGTGTCACCAAAAATTTCATTCATTATGAGCGTATAAGTCACACAGATCGTTTCTGCAAGCATATTAAACAATTGAGAACCCAAGGTGCTCTGCAACACGAAGTTCAATAGGGATATCAAAGTATACATGTGGTCAAACAAATTTTTTTACCTTAAATAATGGAATGATAATCGTGTATTAAAAAAAAAAAATTAGTTTACTAGTACAGGCATGCAGACTTGGTTTCATCTACTCGAGAATAAATTATTGAACAACCACAACTCCATTAAATACATGGCTATGTTTCGATGATGTTAAAACTGCGTCATAAGAATCATCTTAAATCTTTATGCAACAGAACGACTTGCCAGAAAATTTCGACATGGGATGCATTATCTCGCCATATTGTCACGTGATTTCAACATCCGATTTTCATCATAGACCGACAGGCACATACGTAAATGGATTCTATATTTCCCCTTATTTTGTAACTTAATAATCAACCTCCTTTCGCTATTATCCGCAGAAATGGCTGCCTTTCTACCACACCCTTGCCTACAAAACGTCTTTAATCATTTATCTCAGGACTCGAAAACCTTATATTCGTGTGCTCTTGTCAACACTCACTGGTGTATATCTACAATTCCGGAATTATGGCGAGATCCATTCAAATCTTGTATCAAACTACGTGAACCATTTCGACTCACACCTCTAGTAAACACCTATGTCTCGTTTCTTTCTCCGGAGATACTCAAGAGCCTCAGGATTTCTCCAAAAATTAAACAACCAACCTTTTTTAATTATCCAGTTTACCTACGTAACATCAACCTGAATTCAATTCACGGAGGCGTTGAACATTGGTGTGACTCGATTAGCAGTCGGGATACTGAACAAGTCCTAGTCGAATTGGAGAAAATTACACAGTTGTGCAAAGCCCTGTGTGAATATTTTCTTTACCATGCTTCGAGGATTGATCATTTCGACATAGAATATGCGGATTGGTTTAACATCTTTGATCTTGAAAAACCGATTAAATCTTTATCACAGATCAAGAGTTTCGGATTTAATAACGAGTATTTTCCTAATCAGTTTAAAACTCTTACTTCCATTACTAACAGTATTCAGGACTTGAGTATAAGTCTAAAAGACTTTAGAATCAAATACAAGATCATCGAAGATATAATTACCCTTATTAAAGCTCAGAATCGCTTATCAAATATTAAGATTTGTATTCCCTTCACCAATCTATCTCAAAGTCTTTGGGATAACTTGGTCTCATCACGGCACGTCAACTCCATACAATCTATTGAATTCAGTGAGATTGTTTTTGACCCGGACAATACATCTTTGCTCTTAGAACTATCCAAATTTCGAAATTTACGTCACTTGAGGATTTACAAATGCAGGAATTTCGATGGCGATGTGCAAAAGGTTACTGATCCTTCAGCATTCAGTAATCTTCGCAAGATCTTCGTGTATAAAATAGGCGTAAAACCGGAAGTCTTACATTTGTTGCTAGAAAAATCCGGAAATAATCTTACCGAGATCGAGTTACAAGATCATATCATTGATGGATTCGATGATATAGCAAATTGGTGTGGAGCTTATTGTAAGAATCTTAGAAAATTCGTGGCATCGATTCAAAAGCATCAAATTGACAGTATCATTAAGCTTTTAAGAGGGTGCAGGAATCTTGAATATTTCCATATTTATGACGGGAAACTTATATTTGAAAACGAAGATGATCCTTGGCCGGCATATTCTCCACCCGAGTTGGAGTTATTCCAAGCAAGCGGCTTCTTGGAGGAATTTGGAAAAAATGTACCGAAGACACTTAGAGTTATTAAAATTTGGATGAATTGGTTGATTACCCTGGAAGGCTTTGAGAGATTTGTTGGAAACTGCGTGAGCAATGCTTTAAAGCTGAAGGTGATGGAGTTCAGACACTGCGTTGGGTTCAGAAATTCTCACAAGGACGTTATCAAAAAATATTTGTGAGACAATTGAAGCACAACTTAGAACGAAAAGTTAGCGATCAATGAATTTCCACATTTTGAAAATGTAGAAACTTTTTTATTTTTCATTTCTTTGAATGCTATATTTATATTGTTGCCACTTTGTATTATTTGCCATGTAAGAAGCCACGAAAATTTTGGTGACTTAGAAGAATGATAATTTGTAATTAACATTACTTGTGTATATTGAAAATTTAGATTAATAAATCACGATCAATGATGCTTGATTTCTCCTTACCCCCGAGGTTCATATTATGTGGACATAACATGAGCCGTTCCATCCCAGAGTCAAACTCTTATGAGGGAGAGGGGGGAAGAAAATGAAGGAGGGAATTTGATTCACGAACTATTCCATAATTTTTCCATGGATGATATTGAATTTTGCGATAAATTTAAAGTAGCACTTTGACATACAATCTTTTGACATTATATAACGCAAAGATGAAATAAAATTTACCCCCGTGTTTCAAAAATACGCTTCATTGTTTTTTATTTTTTCGCCTACCAATTTTATTTAACTTATGATTTAAATATCAAAATCTCTAAATATAATTTATAAAAAAGAGTACCTTTGTCAGTTTGAATGTACATAACTTATATTATCATTATCATTATAGATTAATTACAAAATAAATCAAATATATTTATAAATGATATTGAATATTATTTTATTGTTTTTATTATTTATTTTTATTTTTTGTTAATGTTATTGTTTTAAAATATAACTTAAAAATATAATGTGTATATTATTATTGTAACTTGGATAATTTTAAAGCTATTAATTGGTTATATATATTTTATTATATTATATTTTATTTTATAATTAAATTAATTATAATACTGTATATTGATAATCATATTAAATTATATTATAAATTTTTAAACTTTATAAATTACAAAAAAAAAAAAAGATTTTGACAATACAATTTTATTAAAGCTTTTATATATTGAAATAAAAAATCATGGAATATGAATTGTTTAAGATAATATTTATCACAAATTATTGTTTATTATTATATTTAAAATATAAACTTAATATAATATTAGTTTAAATTATATTATTGAATTATTAAATTATAGTTGATTAAATATAGATTTATTAATAAAAATTCATATTAAAGTTTATTGTTTAATTCAATTTATGTTATTTGATATTTTAAAAAATATATAATAATTTAACAATAAAAATATATTTAAAATATATATACTGTATTTAATAATTAAAAAAATATATTTATAATTAAAAAAATATTTAATAATAAAAAATTATATTATTTAATAATAATAACAAGATTTAACAATAAAAAATTATAATATTTAATAATAAAAATTAAAAAATTTTAAATTGTTTATCTTTACTTTTTTGTTTTTTTTTTTCTTTACTTATTTTTTCTTTACTATTTTTTTTTTCTTATTATTTTCTTTTATTCTATTAGGACTTCTACAATACTACTTATACTATTTTGATATTAATTCGATACTTAAATTTATTATAAAATTATATAAGTAGATTACAACACATATATTAAATTTATTATAGATTAGTATTATTTCAATACTAGTTTGATATCAGTTCAATACTTTTCAAAACCCTATATTCTATAAATATTTTATTAATATATATATACAGTAGTAATGAAAAAAAATAGCAGTAAATAAAATTTTATTTATTTAATCAATTTTATTAGAATTACTTTAAATTTGAAATATAAATAATTTAATATTATATCATTTATAATATAAACTATTAATATTTAATAACATCACTATTTTTTTGAATTACTAATTCTATTTACTTTTTTATACTCTTTACTAAATTAAAGCAAAGTATTTGATTATTCATTCTTAATAATTTCTATAAAAATTTCTTGAGAAACCTTTTTTTTTCACTAATTTTTTTATTTATTCTCTTTTCTACTCGTTTTTTTAGAATTGTCCATATATTTTCTATAGGATTCAAATCCAGAGAATATGACAGCCAATCAAGAACTTCAGAATATTGATTTTCAAGAAGGAAAACCATAAGCTTTGTCATGTGTTTAGAGTTATTGTCCTGCTGGAATTTCCATAACCTTCAAAAATCAGTTGAGCTTGATTAAAAAGATTATTTGTTAGAATTTTATAATACAGCTTATCATCCATATTTTCTGTAAATAAATGAAATCTGATAGTTTTGTGTATACAGAAGGCTCTCACATATGGACTTTAAATAGATACTTGACAATTCCACATGTTGGTCTTTTTTCTTTAGCTTTATAATAGACTAGAGTAAAGTTTAGAAACATTTGTATTGTCATTTTATCAGAAAAAATCATATTTTCCCATTTTCTTATTTATGACATTTCATTCCTAAAATCCTTCGTTCTTTAATAATGACAGTAAGGAATAGAGTAGTTCGGTGAGTACATATATAGTAACCAAGCTTCCAAAGGTTTTCTCGAACTGTATAACTAACTATGTTAAGATTTGGATAGGTATTATTAAATGTATCTATTATTTCTAGACTTGTCACATTGGCATGCAAACAAACAAGCTGACTGAAGTGATGTTGTTAATTCAGGCTAAGGATTTTAAGGTGGCCTAGATGATTTTTTTGTTATAAATCTTTTTTTTTATTTAGTTGAGAGACCTACCTAAACAACGTTTATATGTGAAACCTGGTAATTTTATATAATTCTTTAACATTTTATATTTTTTCTTTCCATAACGGCTTAATTAATGAGTAATATTCTTTAAGGCAAAGTTTATGTGGCATGATGTCATTGTACAAATTAATAAAGGGCTGTCACAGTCATGATTTTTATATATAATAATCTGTATAATTAAGAAAAAAAGTAAATAAAATTAATTCATGTTATTTAATTAAGTAATAATACAACTAGCATTTTAAATATATCACTATTACTGTCAGTTTTTTCTGTCATTACTATATATATTTCTATCAAAGTTAGGTTTTTTTTTCTCTTTAAGTTTTTCCACACTAAATTTTTTTTTCTTTTTGAAATATTACTCTCTATTTTATTACTTTTTTAATTAATAAACTTTCTTTTTTCAAGAATTATTAAGAAATGATAGCTTTTCTCAAAATATAAACTTTAAAAAATTTTCTTTTTTATAAATTTCAAAAAAAAAACAAATAATTTATTTCTTTAAAAAAAAACTTCTTTCCCATACACAACTTTTTTCTTAAAAATTTCCTTTTATGGTAATTTTTCTTCAAAATTAAAGAAACAAATATTTTTTTTGCCTTTTAATATTCAAAAGTCCTTCACACATTATTTTTCTTCACTACAAGAGCTTCAAGGAAACCAAAAAAGTATACTGGTGCATTGGGATGAGACCTCTGGCCAGAGAAAAGCAAGTTTGTGAACTTTGTTTTTTCTTTGGATTGCATAAGGAAACACCTGTGGCAATTACTTCTTTATAAATCTTTCTTGGGATTCTTTCTATTTTCTTTTCTTTACAATACACAAATCTTTTTAAATAACCATACTTTTTGCTTGAAGGATTTCTTTTCATCTCAAAAAATCAGACTTTACATCAAAATTGTTTATATTGTTGACTTGGAGCACTAACAATATATTTAATGTTTACTTCTCATTATCGCTTAGCATATTTTGCTGCACCACTAAAAACCAAAAAATTACAATCAGTTTACTTCTGTTAATTGATTAACATTCCAAACTTAATTAATCAAATACTATCAATTTTCCAAACAAATTTGTATAACCAAAACACTATACTATAATCAACATAAACAAAATCTTTTATAGCAATAACAACCAAAACAAAATCCCATCACCAACAAACAAACCAATCACAAATTATATCACTATAACAACAATACTATTACCAAGACTAATCATCTATTAAAAAAATATACTATCAACACTATTGTACACTTTGAACAGTAGCCTGGCTATTTCTGGAAGTGCAATAGTACTTCAGTTAAATGAAACTACCAACATGGCATACTTAGTGATTTTATCTGAAGCATCCATAGCTTCACAATTAGTGTTGCTGTACTTCTTATAGTCTTATATATAAATCCAAGTAGGTATTTATAGCTGCTTAGCACTATTTAGAATATACATCAGTTTTAATATTTATTTTCCATATCACTTAGATAGTTTCTATAGACAAGCTAGCATTAGACTTACTGATCAATTGGTTATGTAAGAGATGTTGTTACTTTTTATATGTAAAATAATTTAAAATTTTTATGATAAATAAAATAATAATGTTTACCTACTTTAAAAAAAAATTTTTTTATTTTTTTAAAAAATCTAATATTGTATATTAATTAATGGCTAAATTAGATACAGTATTATGTAAAAAAAATAGAATTTTTTAGATATATATTTTTATTAATATATCAATATAAAATTATTTAAATATTATAAAACTTTATAAATTTGTTTTTAATATAAAAATAAAAATATGTTTCTTTATTTTAAATTAATTAATAAAATAATTTTATATAAAGATATTTATAGTATTTAAGAATATAAAAAAATTTTAAATATATTTTTTATTATAAAAATATTTAAAATTTAAATAAAATTCAAATTTTTTAATTATTTTTTTTTTATTTTTTAATATCAGAATGGCAATTAATATCTTTATTATTTATAAGAGATTGCTGTGTAGCAATATTACAAATATAAAAACTAATATACATATTTCTTTGTTAAGAAAAGTCTAATGTAAGATGCAACAAAAGTGGTTCCGACCATTCCAGTAATGTCCTATAAATCTATCTAAGCGCTAATAAAACATAATATTAAAACCTAGACTTAATACTCAAACAGGTGCCTAGTGTAAACTAGAAAGAATTAGAAATACCCAAACATATGAAGGCATTGCAGCCAAGTATACAGGTTGGCCTTCAAGTCATGAATAAAATTTGGCACACTTGCTTTTCAAAGTTGGCTTGATATGTGGCAGGCAAAGAGGTGGAGGAGAAGAGAGTTGGCTTTTTTC